TCTATTGTTTATTAAAGATTGATAATAATCAGCTGGCTTGATGGTAAAAGGCAGTCTCTAAGGACTTATGTAGTTCATCTAACTTGCATTTGATGGAGTGACTCTTAGATCACAAAAGTTCATGCCATTCATCTTTAAGCTGCCACAAAAGTCTCTGAAAGTAATAATACTTACTGACCATTTGTAACACAAATAAATAACTAAACTTCATATAAACTATTTCCATAATCGTGGATTTTTATAAATTGTTTGTATAAGCTATTCCATCACTCTAAAACAAAATAATTATTTAAAAACTTCCCAAGTATACCAGAATACAAATCATACAATCATCTAATTACATTAAAGGGATTAGTCTAGTTATGCAGTCCAGTTCTACATATAGTATAACAACAGCAACAACAACGTATGTAGAACCAAAGGATTCTGCATATTAAAAAAAAAATAAAAATGGAGATATGAAATTTTGTAACCTCCCCAATTTTATCTGAATCATTTTATTGAGTCAAGTTCCACTAAATTCTTCCCAGTGCGATAATTCAGGAGCTGGTTGCCCACCCATTTTTAAATGAGAGGAAAATGACACACAATGAGGTCTGAATATGATAAAGCATCAAATGAAGTGCCCTGCTCATATATTAGCTCATATGTCTATTAGCACAGAGAAGGATGAGTCTTACATGAACTTGGCAAGTCTTAGAAGCTCTGAAGACTGCCTAAATTAAATTCAGGAAAATTAGTACTATAGGATATCACCATGAAAATGGAACAGCATTAAAAAATATGCTACTACTTACTGAATACTTTGGTAAGGAAATGACTGCCCAATGACCCATGAAAAACTTTTCTTCATAATTAAACTGACAAGGACAGAGTTTAAATTAGTTTCCCACTATTAAATCCAATTCCCAATCCTAGTAACAAGTTCTAGAGTCAAGTCTTTCTGCTTCTGCTAGTTCTTCAAATGCCAATTTCTTCATTCACACATCTGGATAAGATGTTGTATGCCTAAATTAGAGAAAGTTTTAAGAAGATTAAAGCTTATCCTTTAATAGTAACCATGAGATGTCGCTTTCCCCTTAATCAAAAAAATAGGATCGAAAATTGGTTTGTTACTATGGCAACCAACGAACCAGTCTTATATTTGATCCCCTAAATAAACCAATGTAAACAGTAAAGACAGTCTTCCTCATTTTCAAAGCCTGTTTTTTTTTTCTTAAGAGAAAATATGTGTTTAATCCATGCATTAAAAGCTTGCTCAGCTAATCTATCAGAATATTCATAAATCCACAGCCTTTATTTCTTAGAGCTTGTAGCTTACTAGTTGTATTTATAAAGCATCTTCTGGAAGTAAAATACTATACCAACTAGCTTTGTTTGAGTTGCTTTAATTGTTCTTATCATTCAGTGCTCTAATAGGAAAGGTTTTCTGTGTATACATGAAAAAACACTCACTTCAAAGGCAAGGAGCACCATAGATTTGGCACACTGAGTATGTTCAGCTCATTTTTCATTAGAAGTATGCCATGACACTCTGAAACTAAGCACATGCTACTGGCAGAAGCTGCTGGTTTAGACTGAAAAACACACAAAGTGAATTCATCTGGTTTAACCAGAGGAGGCTAGAACTTGAACAAGAAGATCTTCCTGATCCTGATGTCTTCTCTTAACTCTGATTCCCTTTCTCAGTATTTGGTTTCTATCTGCCTATAATTCAGAACTGAAACTATATTTGAATTTAGTTCTTCTGCAATAGACTTTCAGGAGAAGTATTTTGCTTCTATGCTGCTTGCTTAATCTTTATGAAATTTACTGAAGTCATATTAGGTCTCTCAAATCCTCTCTTAAACTTTTATCAAGGAGAAAAGATGAGTTTCTTTAAATAGTTAGCTAAGAGAACTTGGGGGAAAGTCAAAAGGTACTGACTGTTGCCAAATACATAAAGCCACTATTACTCCTATCTTTCTTGCCCCAAGCTGCAACGAAACTTGAGACAAGCAAACAAAAATTCATCCAAATTCTCATTTTTAGTCAAGCACCTTTTCCATGGCATCTTGTAAGCCTTTTCCTCTGAGGATTGGACTGGTTTATAACCTTAATTAATTATTTATGCTCACTAGGTATCTAGTTAGTGTCTCTTCACTTAATGAATGTATGAATAAATCAATTCATCAGTAAAATAGGGATGAAAGCAGCCATCATGAAGGAAACTTGGTAGCAGACTGGGAGGGGCAGGACATGAAGGGGAAAGGGGCCTGAAAGTGAACCCCCGTCCTTTCCTTCTATCAGCAGAGGAACATTAGTTGAAATACCATTGAGCAAGAGGATTGATAATTTCCAAGTAAAATGTTTATACTTACTGGGTTAAATTCAGGATTAGCAATGCTTACAACAGATTTATGTAGGGTTTTTTTTAATGTTTTGTATTATATTAACAATCACGAAGGCTGGGATGACCCAACAGATATTGTATGTTGTATATCTGAACCGATTCTGCAATTACCTTTCTCTTGTTAGGAGATCATGCTGAATATATTGTACTGTTTTATATGACTAATTTAACAAAGCATTTGTTTTTGCAATAAAGCTGAGTTGAGAGCCAGTCTGACGTGGGCCTCTCCTTGAAATTATGCCTATAAGGCCAGTAAAAACATTACATTGTATGCTTGTTTTTTCAAAAGCCTTTGACAAAGTTCTTCTTGAAAAACCACTGAACAAATCCAGCTGCCATGGGGTACATCGATAGATGCTCTTATGGATTGGCAACTGGTAAGAACAACAACAAAAGAGCAGAAAACAGACAATAGGGAAAAAGTTGCCAATTTTAATACTGGCGAAATCCACAAAGTGAGGCCCCATAGAGATTTGCGTAGGGACTGGTGATGCTTTTTAACCTGTACATAAATGATCTGGAGTTGGGGCTGAGCAACGAAATGACCATGTTGCCTGATGATAAAAAACTGTTCAGAGTGGCAAAATTGAAATGGGATTGTGAAGAACTCCCAAAGGATCTCTCTAAAATTAGTAAATAGTCCCTTATATAATGTCATTATTAAAAAAAAACCCTATGGTAAGAATACACTTGGAATAGTGTGTACATTTCTAGTCAACGCACCTTAAAAAGATTACTGTAAGCTATAAAACATGCAAAAAAACAAAACAAAACCAAAATGATTGGGGGTCAGGGCAGCTGCCCTAAAAGGAAAGACTACAGCTACTGAAGCTCTTTAACATGAGAAGCAGGGTAATGGGAGGTTTGATAGAGTTTATAAAATTGTGCATGTCCTAGATAATGTAGACAGAGAGATTCAGGACCATATATGCCACATGATTAAAATGGAATTTAATGTCAGCAGTTGTGGCAATGGCAACCATTTTGGATTGTATTAAATGAGGACTAGATGGGCTCCCAGGTGTAATTAATATTTATTTAGTATCTCCTAAAAGAGGCAGTACAGCTAACATACTGGTTGCCAGGAAGTAGCAATGGAAGGGGGCTATCATCCTTCAGTTCAGGCTAATAAGCTCCCCAGGTGCTTCTAGCTGGATGCTCTGTGATCCAGAAGACTGGATCCAGCATGGCTTAATGGCCTGATCCTGCAGGGCTCTTCTTATATATTGGCTGTAAATCTCTTACTCTCATGGTTTCAATAGCTTTGATCTAAGTAAGTTTACATGTGGGTGCAACCTAATGAAAGTATTTTTTTATTAAATAAGAATCTCGGCGTGAATAAATTTCAATAACAATTATCCATATTGTAAAGATTGATTAGAATTATGGTGAGCATTGATCAAATGAGTACAATTTTACTTAAAATACTAAAACTAATTTTCCTTGAGGACTTGAAACTGAAAGGTAAGTAAAAAAACAGACACACAGAAAACAACACAACCTTACTAATATATGTAATATAGAACAAATAAGATGGCATTTTTGAATGATTCAAGAAAGGACTTTTGAAATATAGCCTTTTAGCACATTAAAATATCATGAATGGAAAGTAACATGCAGTTCTTTTTTCACAAAATCATTAAAGACTTGAACTTTATGAGAATTACTACCAGAGGTCACTTATTGTGAACAGTTAGTATACGTATCTGGAAATACAGAAATTTGTGGACACTTTTCTAGTAATCATAAATGTAGGAATTTATGCACAATGCCACTGGACTATCCACATTTAACAGCACCACTTTCAACCAATTTATTCAGAAAAATATTCTATAATACCATGCACTTTTTCCATATCAAGCAGTTTGAGAATCAATCCTAAGACTTTAAGATTATATTAATACAACCATATACTGCTTCTCACATATAAGTTTAATGCAGAAGTTCTTTCTGCACATTTTTAAGAAAGGGTGTGAATTTTCAGATTAAGTCATTTTCATCAGCCAAAGAAATTATTTTTTTAGAGTTCAGAGAAAAGAAGCAACAGTTTACTCAACCTGAACAACATCACATAGAAGACTGAAAATTACTATCCAGGTATTGTTAAATATAGCTGGTAACTATTAAATCAGAAAGCCTATTTCTCTTCTTAGGATCATAGAGAAAGACAGAACAAAAGGGACAATGTTTAAGAAAAAAATAGCATGCTACAACTTGGTACCACAATTTTTATACTCAATTAGCATAATTAAGGGACATTAACAAATTTGGTTCAATTAAACAACATCAAAATAGAAATGAAAGACCATGTGCCACAAATCAAATTTAGATTCAGACCATGATGCCCTATTTTTCCTAATGCACCAGGAAACCCAGCAGTGATCAAAGTTGAAATAAATTGAGATCATACTGAAGTGGTGGTCTACAGAATCCAAAAAATGTGCATAAGCAAAAAAAGAAAGAGGAAATACTATGGTGAAGTACATAGTAGATAGGTACAGGGCATTAATTCTAATTAATTGCAATGTTATATTTTCTAGAGTAGTCTATCTCCATGGGAGAAATGAAAGGTATGTTAGTAGATCATTCACAGGGGCACATTTCTCACCATTTCTCTTTCTTCCCTCCTCTTTTGTCACTTTCTGCTGTGCCGTTACTTTCTGTGGAGAGCCTCGGCCTGAATTGGGCTTCCCTGATTCGTTGCTGATGACAGAACCATTCTCACTCAGCGACCGGCTGCAAGTAACCATAGCAACAAGGAAGAAGACTAAGTTTTTCCTGCATATTCCTCATTTCAAGGTTATTGCATTTGCTTGGCCTGCATCACTGACTGTTCAAGTCTGATTTTTATAGACAAATATTTATAGTATGTTGCGATGAAGAAACATAATAACAGCAGGAAGGCATTCACAATATTTCCAGGGGAAGGGGGAGGGATTGTTATAACAACCGGAAGTCGGAACAATGTCTATGCATGACTATTGTTTTCTTTATAAACTCACAATAATAAAGGGAAAATCTTGCAACAATAAAAAGACAAAGGCTTTTTCCCCTCACAGAGAGGCCATTAAATAAATAATTCTCAATACATCCATCTTTATTCTAATACTGGATTAGAATATTGCTATAGAGTCATTCCATGCCTTTTCACACAATCTGAAATAAGAGTACTTTCAGGTAAGGAATTAATTTTTAGTCATATTTCAGAGTCACTGGTTTGAGATGGGCGGCTATATAAATTAAATTAAATTAAATTAAATTAAATTAAATTAAATTAAATTAAATTAAATTAAATTAAATTAAATTAAATTAAATTAATAAATAAATAAATAAATAAAATAGCATTAGGATAAAGGGTTGTATAATCTAAAATGTTCAATAGCCTCTGGAAAGGCACTTGTACTTTTTAGCAACTGCAAGATTTCCTTTTATGAATTTATAAAGAAGAGATATTCGGACGGGGATTCATATTCACTATACAGTTTCACAGCCTGTGTGAATGTTATGCACAAATATTTTAAAACTGTAAAGCAAACAATAGAGCATAGCTGGTTCAGTAGTCAAAACTGCAAGAAAATGGGAACTATCTGCTTATATTTTAAAAATAGCCATAAGGCTTATAATGCCCAAATCAAATATCACACTCCCTACAGCTTATTAAAACAAGCCATGAGTATTAACTGTATTTTGAACAGAACTTATTCCACTAATCCTTATTTAGTGTTGTTCACCCGACGTCCAGGTCTGAGCATAACAGCAAACTAGTTAGCTGGAGATGAAGTAAAAGTTTGTAATCTCTTCTGTGTGACTGTGCATATGTCAGGTGAACAAACCTAAGGCATGCATAGTGTGCTAAACTATGGTATATATCTACCTCTGAACCCCAGATGCTTCAAAGAAATACCAAGTGACACAACCATTTCTTTAAGTTTTCTGAGGTATTACTCTGATTATTCTCTACCCCTGTTCTGCTAAGAGTGTAACTGGGGAAAAAACAGAATATGTTTTGTTTGATGTATTCTATGCTCTGATTTTCCCAGCAGAGGGAAGATCACGTGTTTATCTGAAACTAGGATCTCTCATGATCTTAGCAAAATATCCTGCTCCTAATCTATTCCAAGATATACTGTGTTGTATCTGTGTACTTGTATGAGAATAGCTCTTTGTTCACTATGTCCACATGTAACAGTAAGACAAACCTAACAATCTTCCAGTCTTAAAGTGTTCTTCCTGGCTTCTTGCATCCAGAAATGCATGTTTTTGATGCCTGGGTTTTTGTTTGTTTTGCTTTGTTTTTTGATTAATGAAACCTGGGGCTGGGGAGGGAGGCAGTAAGCTAGGTTCAGACTCTATGATAAATTATACAGTATGGTTCCAGGTAGTCTGAGCGATTTGGACAAAGAATGTGCAAAGAAGTTCTGTGAGGAGTATATTGATCATTCAAAGTAAACCAGTTAAGTTGGGAATTTTAACCTGTTGCTTGTGCAAATGGTATCAATGTATTGGACTGGTTGATCCAACTACAGTGGTACCTCTACTTACGAACGCCCCTACTTATGAAATTTTCGAGATACGATCAACTCCACCCCCAAAAATTTCCCTCTCCTTACGAATTCGCCTCGACTTACAAGCCATTTTCCGCCCGTTCCACGTGGTCCGCGGCCATTTTTCTGCCCGTTCCACGTGGCCTGCGGCCATTTTTCCGCCCGTGCCACGTGGTCCACGGCCATTTTTCCGCCCGTTCCACGTGGTCCACAGCCATTTTCCACCCGTTCCACATGGTCTGCGGCCATTTTTCGCCCGTTCCACGTGGTCCGTGGCCATTTTTCCCCGTTCCACGTGGTCCGCGGCCATTTTTTCCGCCCTGCCGCGTGGTCAGCGGCCATTTTTCCACCCCTGACGCGTGGTCCACGGACGCCGGAACGGATTAACGGTAATTACAATGAACCTTATGGGAAAATTTACTTCAACTTGCGACCAACTCGACTTGCGATCAGAGTCACGGAACGGATTAAGTTCGTAAGTAGAGGTATCACTGTATTCTTACTTTCTTATACAGGCTATTTTGAGCTCGAAACACTTCAAAGGTGGTTAAAATAGCCATTTCTGAATAAGAAAATACAGTTTTGGATGCAAAACAGAGCACGCTGATTTTGAAACGGTTTGAATTCCAATTGTTCATTCTCAAGGCAAAATTGCATTATTTTCACAACACACGTTATCAGATTTTAATTTCAGAACAATTACACAATGTAGTCATGATTATATGCATTATCATGTTGATGTCATCATGGCTTATTATGTATGACTTTTCATGCTACATCATGTATCATGCTGGGAAATGTACTTCAACAATATCTGAGGTCTACAAGTTCCCTGTCTGTGATGGAAGACTTGAGTGAGGAGGTCCAAGGTCACTGGGAATCAGAGAGGCATCTCAAGCATATCCTCAGCCCACAGCCTGAGCCTGTGAAAACTAAGAGGATGAGACTGGTACCACCCTAAGGAATTCAGAGTGTTTAGTTGCGGTCGTTGGGGGTTAGAGTCAGTTTGGTGAGATTCTGTCTAGTAGGTGTAAGCTAATAAAGTAACTGAACTGTTCCTGAATTGTTCCGCTAAGTTTCTTGGGCTGAACCTGACACTATCCTTGATATACTGACAGACTTGTTGGGGGAAAAAAGCAGTTCTTAAAGGGCACCATCCCATTTGGGTTTTAAAAACAAACCTAGTACATATATTAAACTGTGCCAGGAAATTGGCCAGAAGACCATAGAATGATATACTCCATTCCAAAAAGCAATTTAGCATTTATAATGTGAACTAATTAAAGTTCTATGAATAATACCTTATGGTAGTAATTTTTGGAAATAACAGAAATTGGGTAACAACTGCTGGCTTGTCTTTGTTCAGAAGGGTTTGGATCTAGCCATTTGGGCATCTAGGGGCACCCCAAAACTATGAACCAGATCCTTTAAACAACCTATAATTCCACTCAGACCAGGCTGAACAGATCTCACATGGGCAGATATTGCAACAATGGATTATTTTATCAACTTTTTTCTTGATACCATTTATGTACTGAGTACCATATTGTACCACAGAGGGTTGAGCAGACTTTTTTTGTGAAAAGTCTCAAGTTGTAAGCATAGAAATAATTACCAAAATCTGTCAGCCATCTAAGTCCTAGTCTTTCTGCAGGTATTGCTCACCTCTTTCTTATGTCATTGAACTTGGCAGTTTTTGCTGTGTTCCCATCCTGAACAATTTCCCTTTCCTGGGATGCAGGAGCATCTCTCACAGGAAGAGGCAATACTACTGTCTCTTGGGTGACAGGCAAAACATCATCTTCAGCCCCTTGTTGGCCTAAATGTTGCTTGGCGTAGTCAAAGCCTTGAACTGGCTAAAAAAAAAAAAGGAGGGGGAGAACCTTGCATCAATGATGTACGTTGCATGCATCTAACAGTGATGAAAACCTGTACTTATTAAATGTAGCATTGCTTTTAAAATGAATATGTATTCATTTTTAAGTATTTTAAGGTTGAACGTAGAACTATATTCTTTCCACAAAGTAGAATATCTACCTGTTTAAACAAAATAACATTACTCCAATTTCATGCCTCCTTCTTTGGCTGATGTGATTGATGTGGTTCTACTTCTTGGCATCCCTAACGTATGAGCTACAGCAACAAAGGCAAGGGATTCCAAGAACAGGGATGGTAGAAAAGAAAAGAAAACAACAGCAACAACAAGCAAGCCTTTGAAAAGGATCACAGGATGATATTCTATTTGGCACAATTTTACTTTTAAACAGACTACTGAGTTACTGGAACAAAATCAGTAAAAAGAATCAGGCAAGAAGAAAAGAAAAGAGAAAATTTAGGAGGACATACTTTGACCTTGCAAAAATCATTTGTTTTGAAATACTAAAATATATCTTGTGAACTCCAAAATAGAAACCAATGTGGCAAGAAACAATATCTTAAATCATAAACCAGACATTTCACACTTTTTAACTGCATCCTGGAACATACCCATTTTTAAACTTTACCAATGGGACACAATTGTCTGTTATCCACAATACCATCTGCTTTGTGTAAATATTAACTTCTCTTATGACAGTAAATTACATAACAGATGCATTAAACATTACACAGGCACACTAGTTCTAAAATTATACATTATTTTAAAATACATGCATTCTAATGTTTAAGCTGAATCTTTACAATTTGTAGCTCATGGTTTAAAACAAATGGAAACAGAATTCTTATTTCATGTTTTTCAAAACAAATACTGATCTGTAACTATCACACTTGTCTTAAATATGAACAAAAGGTAGATAATTTAGGTACTTAACTTAAACTTTATGGCTTTCCCTTTTCCTGACTCTTGGTAATCTTGAGAAACAGGGTGGCAGGACAGGTTCACAGAAGGGAGATAAAATAGATCCAAGGGACAGAACTATAACATCCAATGTCCAAACATACTATCATACTTTTGGAATTGGAGTGAAAAAATGTTCAGAATCCCTTAGCATCCAGTGCCAGAACTATACAGGTATATAATTTTAGTGAGAAGCCTTCTCCCATCTCCATCTCTAAGTGATATGGTTTTACCAGGATAAGTAGCTGAATGTGGTTTATGTGTGTAGCAGGAAGATAGGATAATCCTGGAACTGGTTCTGAAAAGAAGGCAGAAACCTGATTTTGCTGTTTATCTACGATCCTCTAGCACTCCAAATGTGGAACAAAAATTGACAGAAATAATGCTATGAATCTGTATGTTCAACCTGTGTATAATATGCATGTATATATAAATCCTATATTATAAAAATAATTTAATTCTCCACTGATGTTCTTCTATAGAAACTGAACCCTGAGTATTAGCACGTTTGAAACTTGTCACTGTTCATACATGGGTGAGACTATAGAAAACAGCAGAAAACAAACCAGAAAAAAAAAAGGGAAAACTTCCATTATTATTTTACTGAACAAAATCCTAGGAGGAATAGAAATGTTATCAGCACCACAGCCTCTTCTTCAGTTTTAACAATTAATGCTTGTAGGGCCAATAAAGTCTAAATCTGATGATTCTAGGGCGAATGAAATCAGCGATGCTTTAAAATTATTTTTTATCATAAGCACAACTTCTCCACTGAACTCAAACATCCTTTAAAAGAAAACTGGACATCTTGATGTTCAAAAAGATGGTTCATCAAACTCTTCTCCTCTTCCAACTTGAAATTATTCATTAAATTACTTTGTCAAAATAAACTGTTGGAATCACCCAGAACACCATATAATTTTTGGTTCATTATTTTTAAAAAGAAAAATATAACAGATTGAACAAATACAAGCAAAGGTTTCTCATCTTTTCTCAATTTTTAACATACGTGTTTTATTTTTTTAATACAAACAAGATGTGTCAAGTCAATCAATTAATTATCAAAATATTACCATACACAAAACTTTTATTTTATTTATTTTACTTCTATCCTGCTGCAATCAAACAATTCTTGACAGTTTAGAGGTTATATAAACAAAAGTTAAAACATCCATGGTGAGTTAAAACCAATCAAAACAAAAAGAACAATTAGGATGATAACCCTATCAGCCTCACATAGTAACATAAAAGACACAAGAACAACAAAAAAACAAAAAATAAAACAAGAAACAGAAATCAAGATGGTATCAGGCTCCAAGCTTTACTAGGCTCAAAAAAAAGGCCCTCCAAAATAACTTTTTTTTTTAAAAAAGTTTTCAGAAAAACTGACAAGGAGGGTGCCAGCCTGATCTCCACCAGCTGCCTGGTCTAAAGCATCATCACTGTCATAGGAAAGCAGCATTATCTAACCTCAGTCCCATAAACCTCTTGGAAATGTGAAATTACAAGAAGTGTCTCCCTAGCTGTTCTAATTGGTTCAGCTCCAGCCACTGGAGCAGATGGACCTGAAGGTATTCAGATACAAACCACAAATGGATATATAGATCAATATCAGCACCTTAAATTGTACCTAGAAATTAACTGGTAGCCAGTGCAGGGCCTGCAAAATCAGTGTTATATGCCCCCAGCTACAAATGCCAATAAACACACAGGCCGCTGCATTCTGGACCAGTTGCAGGTGCTGGCTGCAAATTACATGAACCAGTCTTTTAAGTGCAGCTTCATGTAAAGTTCATTGCAGTAGGCAAGATGAGTGGTGAGGAGGGGATAAGTTAGTGTAGATGAGTCCTCTCGCCTCAGGTACAGCTGCAACTGGCATACTAGTCGTAATCTCTGGCCACGCACTCCACTTGCTGATAAGCAGGAACCCTGAATCCCCAAGGAAAGGGACCTGCTCAACACTTTCTCTGTATTTTCAATAGCAAGTCAGTGTTGACTCATAGAGACTACATAGATAAACCTTTTCCAGGATAATCTGTCCCCAACCTGGCACTTCCAATGGTGCATCCATTACCACTGTAACTAAGTCCACTCACCTGGCTATTGGTTACCCTTCTTTTTTCTTCCACTTTTCCCAGCATTATAGACTTCTCAACAGAGATAGGTATTTGCATAATGTGTTCAAAATATGATAATGTGAGCCTAGTAATAAACAAAAGAACACTGTATTGATTTGTTCTATGATCAATTTATTTGTTTTCTTGGCTATCCATATTTTCAGGAGTCTTCTCCAACACCAAAGTTCTAAGGCATCAATATTCTTTCTATCCTGCTTCTTCAACTTTCACTTCCACAGAGTGTCCCAGGGAAAACCACTGCCTGCACAGTTCTAATCTTTGTAGCTGTAGATGCATCATGTCATCTGAAAAGACATTCAGATAAAGGCCTTCAGTGCTACCCTACCATGTGCTAGTCTGTGGCATACTTCTTGACTGCTGGTTCCTTTAGTCAATCCTAAAGGGCAGAAATTATTCACCACTTTCGTATCTTCACTGTAAATTCTAAGACTGGTTGCTGTACTTGTCATTAGTTTGGTCTTCTTTATATTTAAATTTAGTCCCATGTTTTCATTGTGCTCCTTGACTTTCATTACTAGAGCTTCCAGATCATTTGCATTTTCAGCTATCAGCAGAGTGTCATTAACAAAGCAGCTTATTGACGTTTCTTCCTCCATTTTAAAACAGTCTTGTATTGTTCTAATCCAGCTTCCCTCAGTATATATTCATCTTATAAGTTGAATACATAAGGGGAGAATATACAGCCTTGTTTCACTCCTTTGCTAGTCTGTTTCACTGTGTTCTGTCCAGACTCTGGCTTTCTGTCCTATTTTTGTATGAGAATTGTGACTTCTTGTGCTATGTATAGATTTTGCATGAATTGTTTTGGGATTCCCATTTTCCTAAGGACATTCCACACCTTGACATGCATGACACAACTGAAGGCCTTAATAATCAATGAATAATAATAATAATAATAATAATAATATAATAATCTATAATCAGTGAAGTACATATTAACTTATCTTTGATGTTCCTTGGCTTTCTTAATTATCCAGCATACACTGGCAAATAATGGCTCGTTTCTCAGCCTTTTCTAAAGCCATCTTGAACAGGTGGTGTCTCCCTTCCATGTAGGACTCTAATGTGTGTGAGATGATCCTAAGCATGTGAAATTACAGGTACTATCCAACAGTTTGCACAGTCTGTTAAGTCTCCTTTCTTTGGCATGGGTATGCAGACTAACCTCTTCCAATCTGTTGGCCACTGTATTGTTCTCCAGATCAGCGGGCATAGTTTAGTTAGAACTTTTCTACTTCTACTTCTATTGCTTGCTATATTTACAGATATTCCATTAGTTCCTATAACCTTCTGACTTGTTAATGACCAGAGTGCTGATCTAACTTCATCTTCTAGTACTAGAGGTTCATGGTAGTAGGAAATACTCTCTAAGATATCTTGGATATTGACATCTTTATTGTACAGAATTCCAGTATACTCTTTCCATCTTTCTTTGATCTTCTTTGAATCAGTTAGTATGCCTCCATTGGAATACTTTAACATGCTAATTCCAGATAAAAATCTCTTTCTGAGTTTGGAAATGTTTTGGTAGACTTTTCTTGTTTTTCTGTGTCAATTTCCACCTACATCTTTACAGTCAGCCTTAGCCACATCTTTCCTGTTATAACTGAGCTCTTCCACTTCCATGTACCAATAATACAGTCAATTTGACTTTTATGTACTCTATGTGCTGATGTCCATATACATGGGAAACATTTTAGTTGCTGGAAGACCAAATTAGTAATGAAGAAATCATTGGATTGGCAGAAACTGTTAAATCATTCTCCTGCTTCATTTCTGTTTCCTAGGCCATACAGTCCAACTACATTTTCCTCTATACTATTTCCAATTTTGGCACTGCAATCTCCAATCGCAAGCAGCACATCTTGCTTGCATTTCAAAT